GGTGCAGAAGATGATCGACGTGGCTGAGCCCACTCAGCGCAAGATCGTAATGCACAAGGTGAGTGGACACGAGGGTCTTCAGACATGTTGCATCAAATAACGAAAATGGGTTTCTGTTTAAAGCACTTGGTTCCAAAATCTCCCTTTACAGATGTCATATCAATACCGTAAAATCCGGAATATAAATCGCACCGGTTTATAAGACGCACCCTGTTTTGAAGGTCTCTTGGAGAGAAAAAAAAGTTTAAATGTTTTCCTGCATGACAATTTATATTGTGTTCAGTGATGTCTACAACGTGCAGTTTCTGTGCAGCTGTGTCGCTCTTGTAGTTCCGTCTGTTTTCACGTTCGGGAGTTTGCACTGCTACTAGCTACAGTACGGTAGTTGAGCTGCCCGCCCCCCTGAAGGTCAAGTTAAAAAAAATGAAAGATTTTTTTGGGGGGCTTTTTGTGCCTTTATTGTAGAGATAGGATAATGAATAGAGTCGGAAATCAGGGAAAGAAGTCATTTAAGGACACATTTCCAATAGAAAAGCACAGCTGTCATTAAAAGTAACACATGCACACCAAGATTCCTTCAAGTCGTCATGTCAGCTTGTCCCCACCCCCCCAACGCTGTAAACCTACAGGAAACACTGGTATTGGTCGCACCGGTGTATAAGATGCAGCCAACTTTTAAGACGAAAAAATAGGTATTAAAAGTGCGCCTTATACACCGGATTTTACAGCAAATACACGTTATTGTTTTGATTAAACAGTAGAGAACAATCATGTAATATACAGGGTAAATGTTAACTCACCTCACCTTTCAGTCATTTTGACAATGTCTTTTTGTACTTCAGAGAGACTAAACAAGAAAAGTACATTGTCACTGTGGTTTTACAATTTCTTCATATCTACAACTGACTTGCATTCTTGTATAACATTTATATCTTGAGTTATTCCCGATTAATTACGTTTTTTATCCTTCGTCTAGCAAATGTCCATAGACTGTTTGTGCGTGTTCTCCTTGTACGAAAGGAAAGTGCTTCATTATGTTTTCTATTCCCCAAAATGTTGTTCTGTACTCATTTATTAATTTTGCAAGTATGTCTACCTTCACATTGCATTGATATAAAGCCAAAAATGTTCCTCAGTGTTAGAATCTGTTGCTTTTTCCGCAACTTCAGCGTCATGTGTTTCTCTTTTGCGTCATGTGTTGCCTCCTAAACTATCTTTGGTTAATTACCTTTTTTATTGACCAATAAGCACTACATTTCAACATTGGTGTTAAAAGATCCTTAAAGGGAAGATGAAACATTGACCCATCATCTAACCTTTTATATACCTGCAAATCCATATATGTCAATTATATAATGTCAGTGGTTTCCTAGGCAACAGCACAGAGGCTGACAAAGTGACAAGTTATAATTGATTTACCGTGTTATAAGTGTCTTCTTCCCGTAATCCCTTTTTTAAGTGTCCATAATTTTTTTTGTGCAGATCCGGCCTCACATTTCCACCTTGAGAAAATACACATACGGCAAACACATCCTGGCCAAGCTGGAAAAGTACTACATGAAGAATGGCGTTGACCTGGGTCCTCTCTGCGGTCCTCCTAATGGCATCATGTAAACCCCCTTTCTCCAGCCCCTCCGACCTGAAATCACCTGATCTACTCTACCCTCACCCTCTTCACCTTTCACCCCCCCGCTCCTGTCTGACCCTTACAAAAGTCATTGTGCCCAACCCCCCCCCCCCCCCCCCCTCCAATTCCTGCTCACTGAGGACTTTGAGTACCCGTCTTACCCCTGTTTCCACGGCAACCCTTCGGGAGGAGCCTGTTGCAGGCAGCCTTAGTTTTTTTTTTTTTGTCTGATTTTGTTGCCCCTCCCCCACCTGAGCCCCAGCCCTCTGAGCTTGGGAAGGGAAGGATGGCAAGGAGTGGATAGAGGTGAGACCTGCTCCACTCCCTCTTTTTCTGTTTGTCTTCTTTTTTCTTTCATTTCCTCTTTTCTGATAAACTCACAAAAATCATTTCACCTTTTTGCTACTGCTGCACACACACAATCCTGCTGTCCCCACCTTCTCCTCCTCTCATCTTAGCTATTTACCACTATGAGATGGAACGAGTATTTAATTTGTCTGACTTCACAGAATCATAGATGAATACACACGCACATGCGCCATCAGCTAACCAGCAGACAGATCATTTAGCATGGGAGATTCGTTTTCTGGTCTTGCTTCTATAAATATAACGTGTATACTTGGTGTAGACCTTTGCATATATATATAAATATATATATAAAACTTTGTAGTTTTTCTGGTTTTTGATGTTGAATCTGTATCTATAATGTATCCTAGTAGTGACCACATACTTCTGACTGTATAATTGTACATTTGTAAACCCTTGTAATGTAAAAGTGCTTTACCACCCTTTTTGGTATGAGAAGAAAAAAGAAAAAAGCTCACTCTGGAAAAAAAATCTTAGAAAAAAACCCTGTGCATTTCAGTGTATATTCTCACCTCCTTGGTTGTGACATATGAGTTGTTGTATATTGTAAATTGTAATATCAAATTTTTGTTTGAAAAGCCCTTTCTATACAGCGTAGTACTTGTACAAAGATTCGCCACGCTTGGTTTTATCTTTATCTTGTCACTGCTTAACTTAAGACGTCGATCTCCCACTGACTCCCAATTGGACACGTTCTGTTAGACTTAGTGGTGTCTTCTGGTTTATGTTGAAGGTTCTTTCTTTTTTTTGACCTTTTTTTAAGATCTTTTTATAGGAATGCTTTACCCCATGAAATGTGTCATGTTTATGGGTATGCTGGCTGGGTGGGAGAAATAACTTTTACTCATTTAAACCCTTCAATTACCAATGACTGTTTTCAGAGGGGTAAACCCACAGATTGTACAGAGGAGATTTTTGTGTTTTTTGGCATTTCTCTAGTGCTGTAAGTGCTGTATCATACTGTCTATGTCCTTTTGGGTGAGAGAGGCAGCCTGCCACAGTGCAGGGTGTACATTTGGAGCAGCCTTGTGTATATTTACTACGAGCACACCTGTAACCATATGTGTATAGTTAACAGAACCTGTGTATGCTTATTGCCTGGGCAACTATTTTTTGTAACTCCTGTTGTAGATTGTCTCTAAACAATTGTGTGATCTTTATTTTGAAAACCAAACTGAACAAAAAAACTTTGAAAATTTAACGGTCTCAAGTGTGCTTCATTGTATGCTGATTGTAAACGCTCAGAATTTATTGCAAAGAAAAACACTTGTAAGGTAGAAAAAATAAGAAGTAGATAATCATGGTCTGAATTTAAGTTTTTAATTGATAAGACTGCAACTACACAAGCATAAGTCAAGAAGAAGACAACTGATTTTTCTCTTTCTGGTCTCTTCAAAAAGGTTGCTGAATAATAGAGTAGCATTTAGGCATGGCATTAAACTGATAAACGACAACCAGCCATGTTGATTAGTTACGATAATGACTGCTCTCAGTGAGGAACAACTTAAGTTTCATAATGAGTACAGATAACAGCAGCTATTACTTTGATTCAAAGCCATTCCTGGATTTATTACCCAGAGCAGTATTCACATCTCGATGAACAATAGTGAAAGCCTTCGTATCATAAATCCCGGCAGAAGTGAAAGGCTACTGCTGTTTGAAGAGAGAACAAAGGGAAAGTAAACCCACGCATAACCCGATACTCATAATTATAATACACGAGTAATGGCTGAGGTTTACAACAAGATTTTCAGACTACGCTGCAGTGTTGAGCAGAAGTCTTATTAAAACAAAACATCTTGCTCTCCTTCTTCCTTTCAAACCTTCTGTTGAAACACAAATGCAAAATAAATCTGCTTTTACCTGCCCACCTTTTGTCTCTGTGAAGTGGGCCAATGTGTTAACAGCAAAGATGTTGCTTAAAGAAATGTAGTCTTGCAGGGATAAGAGGCAATTATCCTATGGCATTGTAGATTTCTTGCATTTGAAAAATCAAGAAATAAGGTTTTACCTGCAGGAATGTTACAACACCTTTAACTTCAGGCTGAAGTAGTCCGTTATACATTACCAACAGGACAAATTGTGCACTTAAATTAACACTTGGCCCTGTTTGTGTTGCTTAATTTGAGTCTTGAGAAAATGTATTGTAATTTGCTTCCTCAAGCAGATCCTACATTGTCTGTTTTTACACTTGTAAGGGCCTTGTGTCAAAATACACCACAATGAAGAGTTCTGTTAAAGTCACATTGAATTTTGGTGAAAATTTGGAGATGAAAAAAGGCACTGGTCAGTGTTTAACCTATTTACATCGACATCAACTTATTTAGGTCAACTTTATCATCTTAAATGTTTAAAATGCAAAAAAAAGTTCCATTTGCTTAATTTCCACTGGACCAAAAGAGCATTTCAAGTTCTAGACTACAAGAGCTTCTTAAATATGGTTAATAAAAACACAAGCTCAATTGAACAAGCAGCGACAGAGTAAGTGTTTTCAAATTATCTTACAGACTAACAACTTACATGTAAATGTAATATCAGAATGTGCCTTTACTAATCAGAGACATTAGCTTCACTGTGCGGTTGCTAGGCGACAAAAGAAGGTTCTTCTTCGATTTGCCCGCGCATTGAGGTTAACTGTTGCTATTGTAGGGCACAGGTGTGATCATGGGGGGAGGGGGGTGGGGTTTCAACGGGCTTAAACATGACTCAGCCAATCGCAGCAGAGGACTGGAGGTGACCTGCACAGGTGAGTAATAATGGCATGAAGCCAACCGGAACCAACTGAGCGCGAAACAAAAGGCGCAAACCTGGGAGCAGCCATGTATGCCCCGCGGCGCGCGGTGTGCCCTGCTTCCTGCATGTGTGTTCAGTGTGTGTGTGTGTGTTTAAAGGGCTGCGGGTGCCTAAACGATCTGCAGGGGGCATACTCGCCCTTGCTCGTGGAGATCCCCCCCCCTTTCTCTTAAAACTCACACACACACACACACACACACAGTCTGTATCACACACACCACTCCTCCTGCCAGACTCCCAGGCCAAGCAGCGTCGCCATACGGAACATCCTGCCCTCAGCGGAGAGGGGGAGGAGAGAGAGAGAGAGAGAGAGAGAGAGCCCGAGTGTGTGTACAGAGCGAGGTTGTCTGTTTTGAGAGAGAGGGACGAGGTCTGGCGTTTCCCAATAGTAAATCTATATATAAAAAAAAACAACTCCCAGATACGGACAGAGAAGAAGAAGAAGAAGAGGCCTCGTTAATCTAATTGTTTTACTAACTGGTGACCTGGACCAGCAGCGCGTCAAGCCTTGGATTTAAAAAGCCCGACTAGACCGGATGGTAGCGCGGTCGGGCGGCGCGCTGTGAAGTTGGACAGACTACCGAGACACCGATAGCAAGCGGCAGCAGCAGATTCTGTCCCCACCACCCCCACCACCCCGAACCCCCGTGAAGGCAGCGGCGGCACCGGGAGGCTGCTCACGCGCACCCCGACCATGAAGCTGCCCTGGCTCCTCGCGCTTACGGCGCTGCTTGCTCGCGCCGCCACGGTAAGCACGAGCATCAAATCCTTTGTTAACCGGGGAGCTTTCTGTGCACACGGAAGCTGAGGCATTATTTTTTTTTTTTTGTGCATGCTTGGATGTGCTTGAGTCTGTCTGTGTGTGTGTGTGTGTGTATCATTAATAAGTCAGTGATATCGGTGATCGGTAGGAAATCCTGCACTCGACCTACTTATCAGCCCTTATTGGCCGGCCGTGACTCCCGCGAGGGGGGCTGGCGACTCCCGTGCACCCCCACCCCCTGTTTTTACGCACACACACACACACACACACACAATCACACACACACACACACACACACACACGCCTTTGTGTCTCGCTGTCGGGTTTATTGTGGCCTCTCGAGTCAGTAGGTGTGTGAGTGTGCATGTAGCCCATGTGTGTCGGTAATTAGCGGGTACTCTCTAATTGAGCTTGATTACGGGTCTTTGTGCCGGGCCTCTGTTTGTGGTGTCTGTGTCACCGGCTCACATCCTGCCGGTAATTTGAGGGGCTCCAGTCATACTGCGGCTTGAACGACTTTATTACTTGGGTAGTCTATTACTTTGGGGGGGGGGGGGGGTTGGATGCCCGACATGCAACCGGACCTGCGAGTCGCACGTGAATTTCCTGAAAACGGCGGCCTCATACGGTTTACAGGAATCCAACTTCGGGCATCCTCCCGTTATAGCCTGAGTGTGTGTGTGTGTGTGTGTGTGTGTGTGTGTGTGTGTGTGTTGAAAAGTGGGTGGGGTAACGGGGAAGTTAACGGCGATGCGGTGCGCGAACGAAGGCAGGGATGGAATGATGTCATCGGGAATCGCGAGGGGGGAGCTGATTAGGAATGCGTGAGCCCCCCCCCCCTCTCCATTTTCTCTCTCACACACACACACACACACACACACACCTTCTCTCCGGAACCATCCACGCCGGGATTCACGCGCCCCTCATATCACGCCCACACCTTCCGTTACCGATGGATCCAGATTTATCCTATGAGGAGGAGGAGGTGGAGGAAGAGGAGTGTGGACGCTCATTGAATCATTCACTGAGAAGAAATAGGATGCAAGCACCAAAAATAGACAAAATGCAGGGCTACTTTTAAATGTGTAAGATAATAAGATGCAGCATTCTTCGTAAAACTACTATATTACCCCTGTCTGTGTTATTGATGCTTATAGTGACTTCATAGTAGCATAATACCATAAATATATTACCTTCATTCATAACACACTTAAGCTGCTGGGGATTTTACTAGGACAAAGATGTGCTGCACTTTGTTACATGAGTGAAATGTTACTCTGCACTGTGTTACCCATCACCTCAAAGTTCTCTTAAAGTCCAGTGCAACCAGTACCTATTAGAATACAGATCCCCTCCTGACACGTTTTTTTGAGATGTCTCCTACTACTACCTACAAAAAATCCATTCTATGTGTTTCATTTTCCCTGTCACATCTGTGTGAATTGTAGATTTTAATGCACTATTACGACTGGCTTCCATGTGATTTTTTTTGATATTCTTTATTAATCCCTGACGGAAATTGACTGGCATGTCAGTATGCACAGTTTTAGGTGCAGAGAAATTTGCAAAACCTTTGCACAAAGATCAACAGAGAAGCTATAAACACCCAAGTAAAATACTTGAAATAAATATTTTTCCTAAGAGAGGTGGGGGGTGGATTGTGGTAATATTATTTAACATAACTTTATTTAAATTTTGCATGCAAGCACAACACATACAACTTAAGAGATTTATAAAGGCAAAAGCCACAAAATTCCTTTAAAACTCAGAATCCACCTAGTTGAAATTGTAAAACCAGTGAGTAAAATAACTACAGACAAAGTTTTTTGTTCAGGTAATTTCCTTTATTTCTACATTTTGACTCAGTGTTTGTATTGTCAACATCTCAACACCTTGGATTGTCACCGTGCTGCTCCTCCTGTAATGCTTCACTGCTCTCGACAGAGATTTTCAACCCTGCTACACACACACACACATTCCACACACTGATGATTACTGGGTCAGACGGTTGCAATCTTTGCCAAAGATCCTTGGCCCTCCCGCTGACCTAATCTGTCTTGAAGTGTACAGATGGAGACAGGTGCGACACATATACACACACACTCAAATATACCCCATGTTAGCTGTGCACAGATGGATGGTGTTGCTCAAATAGTTAAGACTCAGACACAAGCATTCATGCACACCAACAGTCTAATAATTGCAAGACTTACCTCATGCAACCTAGGCCTTGAACACACACACAAAGGCACACGTACATGACCCACAGTCAAGCACATTTGCTGACAAGATCTTTCTTTAGACGCCCCTTGGCTTGATATCAGCTGATCCTGTGTGTGTGTTCTTCTCATGCGTGATCCCTGGTGTCTTGTCTCTGTGGGTATTTCCTGTTATCAGACCTGTGACATCATATCCGGGTGCCTATACTTAACAACCAGTTTTTCCCACAGGCATCTGTTGTGTCCCACATTAGTTGGAGTGTGTGTGTGTGTGTGTGTGTCTTCATGAGAGCGCTTAATGTCCATCTGTCTGTGTGTGTGGGCTCAAAAATAGTGAATCTCCACTGCCAAAAACTTGTTCTCGCCAGCCCTTGCTCCTTGAAAAGTGTGCGTGTGACAGTGTGTGTGTTTGTGGCGGAAAAAGTGTTGTGTTCTCGAGGATCATGTTTAATGGGGATGAATAAGTGTTTTGTGCGTCTGATAGCTGACAAAGCCCCCCATAGAGAGACGAAGAAAGAGAGAAGGAGCAAGAAAGAGGAGAAAATAGCCTGAGCGAGGCGGATTGAGGGAGAGTGTGGAATGTGAGAGGCAATTTGACACAGGAAGTCTCTCCTTCTCGCTCTCCTGGAGGACAAAGTCCCCTCACACACATGCTGGTAGAAAACACTCCAGGTGAGGAGCGGGGAGGTATTTCAGGTGTGTGTGTGAAAGGATGAGTGAGGGTGTGGGGTTCATATTCAAGTGGAGAGAGGAAATGAAAAGGATCATGGTTCATATCCGGATGTCCCGACGTCTGGAAGTGAGAGAGAGAATAATGATGCCTTCAGTTAGAAAACAACTCCCCATCTGAGTCTCCTCCTTTTCCTCACGCAATTTCTCTCTTTGCCTATCTATGTGTGTGTGTTGGATGGGCACACACTCATATCTGAAAGCATTTTCTTATCACATTCGAAGGATGTGGCTCAGCAGATGTGGCACATTTTACTGAAATTAGTTTTTCTTCCTGGTGGAGAAAGTTTGTTCATTTGAACAAGTTTTCCATTTACTATTAAACTGATAACAGCATGTGGGGATGGAGAAACCTGCCTCAACAATACCTGTTATTTCCACACTTGCTGCTGAAAGAACAATGGGTGCTCTGAATTTGCAGCAAAATTGGAGTTTCATTTATTTAGGTCACCATAAGTTCAGCACTACATAGACATTAATAAATTTGTTGTCAGACTGAATCTTATCCAGATTTTTCTTTAATATTCATGTTTTAAAACATATTTACATTGTTGTAAGGACTATTCTTCCTGGGGTCAATACAAAAAAAACCAAGATAAAACATTCAAGTTCAATGAAATACACAACATTAGTAAAGAAAAAAAGGAAAAATACAATCACAGACAAACCAAGGACGAATGCAATTCATGAGCACATGGCTAAAACAGTAGTTTACTTGACTTTTTCGCCATTAGTCACTCAAATGTCACGCACATACCAAATGTCACATGTAGGCCAAGGCGATTTCTTTTTTAATAATTGCATTGCTTCATTCCTTTTTAAAACTCAGCTTATAACAGATCTGGATCAAATTTAGTGGCAGTAAACATACTTTCTAATCCAACCACTGGCAAAAGCTTCTTCGCTTGCATTTTTTATTTTTAAAAGTAATCAAATGCACATGTCTTACACATATATCATGATGAAATTATTAGTTTTAGTTAGTGATCGTGTCTGAGAAATCTCAGCCAATCAGTGGGTAACTGGGTATGGCAGCCTGTAGGTAGCCTGAAAGGCAAACCTGAGGGGAAAAACCCGTAATCACTCCATGCTGCTCATTAATTACTGAGCTCTTCATCCCCTGTGGATATTACACCCTTGTTTCCAATCAAGATATATTTCTCATCTAAGGAATAAAACCACGCTTTTACAGACTAATATTGTAATAAATTCTGTTTTAGTTCATAATTTTCCTGGAATATCATGAACCAGAGTTGGAGCTGATTACTCCAGCGTTGGACCCTCTTCAAGGCTAATGGAGGAGTTTACAACCCAATATGATATTTAAGTTGTTGGGTTCAGAAAATACATTCTTATCTTGTGACCTTTCATCAAATTACAAAAAGCTGATTTTTTTTTTTGCACTACCAACTTTGGCACCAATTAATAAAAGTGTAGCTGATTGCTGGCTTGAGCTTCATCTGACGGCATCGAAATGGTGTGAGAGCATGGGCATTAATTATACTTAAGCCTCCATACAATATTTGAAATGTGCTTATGCTGAGTGAGAAAGCAGTGCTTGCGTGGAATAGTTGTTCTTATTAATTGCAATAGATTCTGAGTTTTATAATGTGCTTCTTGCCATTACTTGGCGTTACATTACGCTGAAATGTTGATTAGTGCAGCTTGGGTAATGTTTGACTCTAAAAGGCCAGAACGAGTACCAACTTTTGTTACTTATTTATACCTTGAATACTTTTACTTGCCAACTTCCAAAGCAAGCGTCTTACTTGTAAAAGCAGTACTTTCATATCAGTGCATTTGTACTTCCCCTTAAATAAATATTCTGACTGCATCCAAGCTCAATCCTTTCCTACAGATACCCAGACTGAGGTGCCACATCGTAGTATTTTCAGTTTTTGTCTGTGAATCTCTTGTGTTAACACAGACAGTCACAGTTTAAAGAGGGTACCTGTTTCCTTCAATCACTCTGTTACAACACATTGTGCAACTCTAAACTTTCCCTGAGGAACGTGTTCAAGTCATCCCACGAATAAG